ATATATATGTATAATATATATTTATTATAAATATACGTATATATTTATAAATATAAATTTTTTTTTAAGAAAGGGAAATTTCTGGGGCCCGCAGGTTGTATGGTAGTTAAGGCGCTAAACTCTCACATGACTGACTGTGGTTCGAGTCCTGGACCTGATGGCTTGCTTTCTCACTTTCCCTCTCTCTTTCTCTCTCTGTCTCTATCTGGTGAGTGTGTGTGCCCTATAGCAAATTGTAATAATAACACTTCTAAATAAAATAAATAATTCTTTAAAACAAAGAAAGGGAAATTTCTTGTCTTTCTAGATTATGAATTCCTTCTATTTCTAGTTGGTTTGTGTATCATAACAGGGTATCATTGAATTTTGTCAAATGCTTTTTCTACATCAATTGACATAATCATGTGGTTTTTATCATTCGTTCTGTAAATGTAGTATAGCACATTGATTGACTTTTGTATGTTGAACAACCATCCTTCCATCCCGGGGATAAATCGCACTTGGTCATGGTGTGGTATCTCTTTAATGTGCTATTTGTTGAGAATTTTTGTTGAGGATTTTTCATCCATATTTATCAGGGATATTGATCTGTTGTTTTCTCTTGTGTGTCTTCGTTAGCATTAACATAATGATGCTGGCCTCATAAAATGACTTTGGAAGCGTTCTCTTTTCAGTGTTTTGAGAGTTTGAGGAGAATTGATGTTAATTTTTCTGCAGTGTTTGGTAGTATTCATCAGAGAAGCAGTGTGGTCCCTCGCTTCTCTGGCCAGGAAGGTGTGGTTGCTGATTCAGTATGCTTACAGTTAAAATCTTCACATTTTCTGTTTCTTCATGATTCAGTCTTGGTAGGTTGTATATTCTAGAAATTCATCTATTTTTTCTAGGCCATCCAGTTTATCGGTGCATAATAATGTAGTAGTTCCTTTTTTTCTTAAGTTTAATTTTATTTTTATTGCCAAAGACAGTTGTGTTTGCTAGAGAGAGAGAAAATATGCTCCAAGAGGGGTATGGTTACACTGCAGTCCTTTCTCTTCCACTCTTCCTTCCTGTCAGGGTTTTGGACATGCACACACAGCCTCTGGCTGTGTTTCAAGTTGCCAGCGCTGGAGTTTGTACTATAGACAGCCATGTGGGATCTGACTCTTTAAACTATTGTAGTAGAAGCCCCTATAGAAATTTTTATAATGATTTTTATTTATGTGGCATCCGTTTATTACTTTAGTTTTTTCTTTTTTTCTTAGTGTAGCTAAAGGCATGCACACACACAAACACATGATTTTCAAATTGGTACAGCTGGGATTTGAACTATGGTCAAACGTGTGGGATCCAACTTCCTCAACCACTAGGCTATAGAGTATTACCTATTTTCTATTTTCTTTATTGTTACTCTAATCTCCATTATTCCTTTTGTTTTGCTAACTATGGGCTTAGATCTTCATTGCCTTTAAGCTTTTAAGTTTTTGGTTTTTTTTTTTTGCTACAGGGTGCATGTGCTCAGCAGAGAGACAGAAAGACAGACAGAAGGCTAGAAATCACCCCCCAGGTGGCCTTGTTGCAATCCCTTTTCCTCCATTCTCCTCTGAGGATATTGGGCATGGTGCCCAATACAGGTGCCAAGTGCAAGTTTCAAGCCACTGGGTCTGGACTCGAACTGTGGTTGGCCATTTGGGAGTCTAGTGAATAACCACTATGCCACCTGCTGACCCCTGTTTCATTTTCTTAAGATATAAAAATAGGTTGTTTGCATTCTTAATTTTTAATGTAGACATCTATTACTATAAACTTCCCTTAATGCTGGTTTCAGTGCTTGTGTTTTTGTTTTGATTTGTCTTGAAGTATTTTCTAACATCTTTTTTTTAGAGGGATTTTTGCTGTTGGACATGTGTGCTCATCAGAGAGACAGAGAGACAGAAAGTGAGAAATTATACCTTAAGGGGGATGGCCACTCTGCAATCGCTTACCCTCCCTTTTCCTCTTAGGATTTTGGTCATGCACACACATGTACCTTGTATGAGTTTCAAGCTGCCTGATCCAGGACTTGAACCACAGTCAGCCATGTGGGAGTCAAGCCACATAACTCCTGTGCCATCTACTGGTACCCTAATATCCTTTTTGATTTGTTTCCTGACCCTTTCGTTATTTAAGACTGTTGTTTAATATTGACATTTGTGAATTTTCCAGTTTTCATTCTGATTTCTGTTTTTATTCCATTTTCATTAGAAAAGATACTTGATATGATTTCAGTCTTTTTAAATTTGTTAAAAACTTGTTTTATAGGCTAGTTGAATAGCCTAATGGTTGAGGGAGCTGGATCCCACATGGCCAACCGCATGGTTTAAGTCTTGGTAGTTTAAAAAACATACTCTATGTGTGTGTGTGTGTGTGTGTGTGTGTGCACGCATGTGCATATACAGGATTCAATGGGATGGAGAAATGAAGGAAAAGGAATTGTGGCATGGCTATACATTTCTTTTTTTTTTTTTTTTTTCTTTTTTTTTTTTTGGAGAGATTTTCGCTATAGGGCGCGTGCGCTCGCCAGACAGACAGAGAGAGACATAGAGACAGAAAGCGAGAAATCCCCCCCCAGGGGGGATGGTCACGCCGCAATCCCTTCTCCTCCATTCTCCTCTCGGGATCTTGGGCACGCACGCACACGCGCCCGGCGTGAGTTCTAAGCCACCGGGTCCGGGACACGAACCGCGGTCAACTACGTGGGAGTCCAGCGACATAGCCATTACGCTAACTGCTGGTTCCCACATGGCTATACATTTCTGAGGGGTGCTTTCATCTTCTCTCTCACTTCCCCTCAGTTGCTGTCTGGCAAGCACACATGCCCTCCAGCTATTTAAAAAATAATTTTTTTCAACTTATTTTGTGACCTAAGGGATAGCTTTCCTAGAGGATGTTCTGGGTACACTTGGGAAGAATGTGTAATATATGTATGCTGGGTAGAAGATTTTAGTCCTTTTGGTCTATAGTGTTGTTCATGTGTACTCTTTGCTCTTTGATTATCTTTTGGATGATTTGTCCATAACTACTGCAGTTATGTTACTATTTCTCCCTTCAGTTCCATTGATGTTTGCTTCATATATTTGAGTGCTTTGCTGTTGGATGCTTATGTATTTGTCATCACTATATTTTATTGTATTATATAAAGACCTCTTCACCTCTTGTGGCAGCATTTGATTTATAATTTGTTTTGTCTGGGAACCAAAAAGTGTCACAGTGGTAAAATTACATTCTGCAAGGCCACATGAGAAGTTTCCTAGTTCAAGCCCAGACTAAACTCCCATTTCCTGCACATGCTGGGCATGTGTGCCTATGATCTGGGGGCTGCCTGAAGACCAGAGTGGATTGCTTTGTCCAAACCCTGTGGGTTGTGTTCTTTTTCTCTGTCGCTCTTGCTCAAGTAAGGAAGAAATAAACTTTTTAAAAAATTGTAAATAAAAAATTTATTTTGTCTGATGTAAGTATGGCATGGTCTCTTTTTTTAAACAATAATTTTTAAATTAACTTTATTATTTTAATTTGGCCAGAGAGAGGCGGGGGTGGTGGGGCAGGGGAGAGTAAGAAAGCAAGCCACTGGGTCCAGGGCTCAAACCACAGTTGGCCACTTGGGAATCTAGCATCCTTAACCAGGATGCCACTTGCTGGCCCCTGCATGGTCTCCTTTGATTACCATTTATATGGAATATCTTTTTCCATTCTTTCACTTTTGACCTATTGTCTCCTTAAATCTAAAATGAATCTCTCATTGACAGTATATTGTTGAATCATGTGGAGTTTTTTGTTTTGTTTTGTTTTGCTTGTTTTTAAGGAGAGATTTTTGCTGTAGGGTGCGTTTGCTCACTGAAGAGACAGAGACACAGAAAGCGAGAAATCAGCTCCCCCCTCCCCCGGGAATGGCCACACCACAGTCCTTTCTTCATTCTCCTCCTGGGATTTTTTATTATTTTTTTTATTTTAGGTTTTTGCTATAGGGCGTGTGTGCTTGCCAGAGAGACAGAAAGTGAGAAATCACCCCCCGGGGGGATGGCCACATGCAGTCCCTTCTTCACTCTCCTCTCAGGATCTTGGGCATACATGCACATGCACCCGGCGTGAGTTTAAGCCACCGGGTCCAGGACTCAAACCATGGTCGGCTATGTGGGAGTTCAGTGACACGGCCATTACGCCAACTGCTGGTCCCCTCTTGGGATTTTAGACACACATACACACACACACAAGTGCCTGGCATGAGCTTTAAGCTGCCAGGTTCAGAACTCAAACTGTGGTCAACTACATGGGAGTCCAGTGATGTTACCATTATGCCATCTGCTGGTCCCAAATCTTCTTGTTGTTTTTTAATCCATTCAGCCACTCTTATTTCTCTGATTTCTTGTGAGTGAGGTACTTTATTCATTTACGTTGGAAGTAATTACCAACTGGGAAGGGTTTGTTTGCTGTCTCATAGCTCTTTCCTTCCTCTTTTCTCTTCTAGCTGTCCCTGTGGTTCACTATTTATTTATTTATGTATTTATGTATTGTTAATGTTTGATTCCTTTATGTTCTTTTGCATATCTTCTATAACTACTTTCTGGTTATCAAGAGGCTTATCTAAAACCTCTTATATCTCTAACAGTCTAAATCTTTTCACAGTTTAATTTCAGTTGCATACAAAAACTCCTCTTATATCCCCTTCACATCTCATGTTATTGCTGTTACCCATTAGTCATTTTATGTTGTGTATTCATTATCATATTTTTAAGGTTTTTTAGTACTGTCTTTTAACTTCTGTACCAGAAATATAAGTGATTGCTTTAGCTTATTTGTGATTTTTAACTTTTATTTTCTTGTAGAAACTATTTATATAATAAAATTTTTTTCATGTTTTTGTGACAGTTCTTAAAATTATTTCAGAATTTTAAATTATTTTTAAAAATTTAGAAATTATTTAAAATTTTTTGTACTAAATTTATAAGGTGAATAGATCTAACTCTTTTTTTTTCTTGTTTAAACAGAGTTTTGAGACTGATTGTCAATCTTATAGAAGATTACTGTAAACTTAAAGTTTTCTGAAGAATCAGTTCATAAGATCCAAAAAGTATAAAAGGTAAAGTACATTTTAGAATGTATCATGAAATTATATTTTTCAAGAAAAAAATATATAAAAGACTCCATGAACTATTTTGGGACAATAATTTGAGAAAAGTTATAGTTTTGAAAGTTTATATTGTGTTAATTTAATACAAAACATTTATTTTGCACCTGCTGTGTTTAGGTATTATCTTAAGTACTGGGCATGCAGTGATGAGCAAGACAGAAGCTGTCAACAATACATATATATGTATATACACATATAGAGACATACTTTTTTTTTTTTAAGAGAGATCTTTGCCATAGGGTGCATGTTCTCTCCAGAAAGACAGCAAGAAATCACCCACCCAGGAGGGGTGGCCACACTGCAATCCCTTCTCCTTTATTCTCCTCTTGGGATCTTGGGCACACATACACATGTGTCCAGCATGAGTTCTAAGCCACTGGGTCTGAGACGTGAACCGCTGTCAACTATGTAGGAGTCCAGTGCCATCTGCTGATCCCTTGGCTATGTGATATTTTAAATGCTTTTGTATAATCTATAGAAATGTCAAAAAGTTAATTGCATATGTTACTCTAGTTAAAAATCTGGCTTAGGGGTGTGGATATGGGAATCATTGGTTACATAGAGATACTTAGGGTCATATGTCTATGTGGAATTATACACACATTGTACACACATTGAGAAAGGGTACACATGTTGAGAAATGTACACGCATTTGTGCACACAGGAAATGTTCACACAAGAGAGATGTACACACACTGAAAAGGAGTCAGTGCTGCAGCATGCCAGTATTAATTAACCAGAGTAGAGGGAGCAGCCTATAGGGTGAATGCTAAAGCAGGAGAGTGTTCTGTCACTGAAATCAGGGAAAGAAAATACTCAGTAAATGCAGAAGTAGGCCTGTCCTCCACACACTATAAGAGGTCAAATGGAAAATAGAGTAAAACAGCCATTTGAGTTGGCTACAGGAATATTTTTGATAACTGCAGAGTGATTCATTTCAGGCTGGCCGCTTAGCACAGTGGTTAAGGGGACCAGATCCCACATGACTGACCGTGGTTTGAATTCTGGTTCTGGTAGCTTGAAAAACATGCCAGCCAGACACATGTGTATGCGTGCCTCAAATCCAGATGGAAAGGAATGGAAGAAAAATGATTATGGCATGACCATGCCCTATGGGAAGAAACTACTCTTTCTCTCTCTAGGGGGTGCACATGCTCTCTGGAAATAAATTTTTTTAAAGTAAAATAAAAAAATAATAAAATGTTGAATATCTTGTATAACTTCAAAAAAGAGAGAATCAGTCATAGTGGAGTGCTGAGGATGAAAACCTAAATGTGATGAAGACAGACAGAATGGAGGGCCTAAGCCCGCTGTGGGAAAGCAAAAAAACAGATTTTGGCACTGTAGAGCCTGTGAACTTTTCATGAATTGGAGGCACTCTTTTGGAAATAGGAGTGATGTTTGGACCTAAACAGGATGACTCATTGCAAATCTGTTTAAGAGATGATTGTTACCCTCCATGGATCCTTTTTCTTTTTTCTTTTTTTGAGAGGTTTTTGCTGTAGGGCACGCCAGAAAGACAGAGACAGAAAGAGAGAAATCACCCAGGAGGGGATGGCCACGCTGCAATCCCTTCTCCATTCTCCTCTTGGGATCTTGGGCGCACACACACATGCCTGGCATGAGTTTAAGTCACCAGGTCTGGGACTCAAACCACGGTCGACTACGTGGGAATCCAGCGACATAGCCATTATGCCAACTGCTGGACCCCCATAGATCTTTTTTTCTAATTTTGGAAACTGGCAACTGCCCCTGCTCTATCTTAGGAAATGTCTTGAGACTTATTCTTTAGAAAGGATAAAATAGAGGAGCAACAAATGTAGCTGAGAATGGAGACAACAGTTTAAAATGGAATTAAGAAAGCAGGCTACCCGATTTTCGTAATTTTTAGGTACGAGTTGACAGATTTCTTTCTGTGAGCTATAGCCAGCCTAAGACATAAGATCTGAAGATAATAACATTGAAAATTCTCCCAAAGAAATGTTCAAACCTGATACTCCTGCAATAAAGTTCACCGTCAACAAGCTCTGTTACACAGAGCTTCAAGTTGTGTTTTTAATGACCTACCCTTAAATGTGAGCCTGTGACCAGATACCATTAGACTTCTGTGAAAAACTTGTTATGTGAAAGACAGACCAAAGGAAAAGAGAAAAATGCCAAGTGAAGG